GAAATTGTAGATCTCGTCGTCCTCTACAAGAAAGGTCCTATACAATTTTCCCGTAGATTCAACGGTTTAGGAGTAATTAAGGAAAAATGAAATTTTTTGCCAAAAGTTCGCCGTTTCGACGCTGGGATGGTCGGATTTTGTCAACATCAATAAAATGCCAAATAATCATACGTAACTCGTTAAATATCGAAGTTAGAAGGAAAACAACTTTTATTTGAAGCATTTTTCGCAATTTTGAAAAAAGAAATTTTCGTCAGCGTCAATACTTAATTGGATATTTCCTTCTATACTTTTTAGCACGTAGCTATTTATTATTAGCATTATTCTTCCGACGTCTGATTTCTTTTTAATTATAGGAAATGCGTTTTTCTAAGGTACATAAACTTTTGGGATTGACTGTATAGCCAATACATCCTTAACATATCAGGTCTTTTATCTTCAATACTAACAATTAGCTAATTGCTGTGAGCAAGTAGAATAGATCTATCTTTGGTCAGACGGCACTGTACTTCTTCGATAGTTTTAAGTTTGGTCTGAATTCTTTTCCTTATTTTTACTGTTTTGTTAATAGCGACGTTTTATAAGATTTAAAATATACAAATACGTAAAATACAGATAACCATTTTATTATTTTAATAACAGCACCGTACAACCGTTAACTAACTATTTATTCAATAAATTTCAGTTTTCAATAAATTTCTAAACTATGTGTTAGCACCATTAGCAATCGGAGACAACAATTTCCCGATAAATAATGAAAAACGTGCAATATTTTACGATTTTATTGCTTGGGAACCAGTTCGGTCGTTCCTCAAAATTAGATAGGTCTCTATATCTCGCAAACTTAAAGTATCAGGCCAAACCACGGAACAGCAGATAAAAATAAGAAATGAGAAACGGGGAGAGCGATATATCGGGTGGTAACGGAGATCGTACCGCCTTACATTATATACAATAGTAGCGGTGGCAGTTTTTACGGATATTGCGTCGATCTTCTGAACGATATTGGATCATTGGTGGGTTTCGATTACACCGCCGGAGAATTGTTCTCGAGAAGCATTACGGCCAATGGGACACGAGCGTCGAGCATTGGAACGGTATGATCTACGAATTAACGTGGAACGTGTCCGACATCGCCCTTCCGCCATGGGGACGTTCGTATGGATCACATCTAAAAGGACTGAGGTATCTACTCCCCCTCACAATGCATTTAAAAAGGGTTTTATCTTTTGAAATTGAACCGCATCGCATATCTTTTCTTTTCCATTCTTGAACATATGAGCTAAATTGTAAAATGCATATTCTGTTAAATTAAATGCAAATACTTTATTATTAAGAAGGACGTGATCAATTGAACAAATATAATCGAGCAAATTATAAATGAAATAATCGTTCATATTAATGAAATATAAATTGATGAAGTTGCAATGTCCACCATCGATTGATTTCATAATCTTGTACTGGAAACCGAACGGTCTCAAGATAATAACGTTGAAGAAAGAGCGATAGATACCGTCCTTCAAGATTTTAATGATCAGAAAACCGAGGTTTGGATTGGTTACGCGTTTACTCTTCTCTCGACGATATTTCTATTATATATTCTCAAGAGATACTCGCCCTTTAACTACCAGAACAATCGGACGAAGTATCGAAACAAGCCTATCGATCGATGGTCGCCAACACGGTGGGAGGTGATGTTTTTAATCCTCGGAAATCATTCCCCAAGGCGATCCCAAAAAATTTGTCCATGAGGGTAATATTTGCACAACCAAACGACTGTTCCATTTTATGATCTGGCGACTAATGACATCATCAAATAGATTTGGATTTGAATCGTGCACATACATATATTTCTTGTGAATAAACCGAAATTTAACATTTATTTCTACAAGATTTTATATGCAATTGTAAACATTAACATCACAAACTTATAATGGTGGTAAATGTATTTAATATGAACGCATCTGTAGTACAAAGATTTGATTCAAGACTTCGAGCATCTTTTTCTTAGTTACAACAATATGCTTTTCCCGATTGCGTAGCCGAGAATGCCTTTCGAATGCCATCGTCTCATCTTCTGGACCCTCTTACTTATCGCTTTGGAGGCACGTGTTTAGGTATACTGACTGCGATATTGCGCTAGAAATTCACATTCTCCTTACATTCGGTCTAGCTAATCATACCGACGTCCTCGACGGTTCTCTTAATCGGCAAGCTATGATTTGCATTGATCGTAGTCAGAAAGAGTACATCATTGTAAATAAGAAAAAAAGGCTCGAAGTCTTAATTCAAACATTTATACAATAACTCCGTTCATGTTAAATATATTTACTACTATTATAACATTGTATTTACACAATTTATTGCAGCAGTTTATTTTATAAGTATTTATTATTCTTAAAGAATGCGAAAAGGCGAAATCGAAGGAGAAATTGATACGATTTGTTACGATAGAAACTGGAGACATGGAAACGAAGATGACGTTAAATAAGAACGGAATAGATCCGAGGAGTACGTCATATAATATTATCCGTTCGAAGACAAATTCATGCTCAGAATGTATAGCATTTCATAAAGGAGGAAGAGGAATTTGTCTCGAGGAAGTGGTGAATATTCTCTTGAATGTAAATCCCACTTACCAGTTTGCTCTTATAGCGGAAGCTGTGATCATAAAATAGCTCACGCTGGCGAACTGTAACTTTGGACCAATGGAATTTGAATTTGCATTCACTCTTGATTAAAACGAAAGATTTAATCAAAGCATCAGTGGTACTCAACTCATAAGTTCTAATATATTCTAACAACTTTTGTGAAATCACTGTGATAAGGATATTTAGCAGAACACGCTTAATTACATCCATTTTTTACATCGTTTTCTGTTTGTTATAAAGATTATAAACCGTTGATTTGTGCGGTTTCATTAACTATGATTCTCCGTAAGATGAAATCTGAAATTTCGTAATTTCGAAATAGCGCGATTTAACTCCGTAATCTTCGAAGGGATTAAAACACGAATATTAACGTTGTCCGTTATTTCAAAGTTCTTTTTATAGTAGATATGAATTAGCAAGTAACATTAATGTTTTACTAAAGGATTACGTGTCTAACACGGCAGTGCTTGAACGAAGATTAAGCACCCCGAAGTAGAAACGGTGGGTCGAGAACCCTTTCCGGCGAATCGTCGGATTAACAAGAACTTTTGACATAAGTTTCAGTCTCACGTTTAGATAATTTCCCATTCGCTTTTCCACTGATCCTGTTTGACGTATTTCTCACGATTCCAATATTTCTGCTGCTTTCACTATTTCTGGTATTCCCATCAGTTAAAGCGAATAGTGAAAAAACATTGAAATTTTTTTTATAAAGTATTCGCTCTTCGCATGAATAAAAGGGCGAACAAATAAAATACCAGGAAAAAAGTTGAAAGAGATATGGCATAATAAAAAGATATAATCCCTGCTTCAATAAAACAAAAATCACTTTGCTTTGTCCACGCATGGATTTAGGTATGTACATGGATAAAACCATAAATAAAGTACGATGAAAAAAAGTAACGTTAATCAAAGCAACACACAGCACACAAGCATCGATATTTTCCTACTATATTTCGGTTTGTTCATCGGCATCGCGTGTTACATTGCTACACAGCCCGAGGGCCAGAGAACCATAAATCCTACGATTTTCGACTAGTATCGACGCCAACAATTAGCTAATCCATCGTATTACCCCTTTTTCTGTCCTCTACTATTACGTGTAACACGATTCCATTAAGAGAACCAGTATTTATGCACTTGAGTAAATAAATCACGATACCGCAGATAAAACGTATCGTATGCAATTCGAATTTACGAACTCCAAAGCCACGGACGTTACTGTAATACCTGAAACCTATAAATCCACACGTGCAGAAATATTTTCCTCAGAAATGATTAAATTCATTCTGTCGGGATAAACTGTTAGGACGAGCTCTAGATTCTAGATCCAAAGAGATCTTAAGCGATTTGAAGTAACGAAAGATCATTAAAAGAGCATTATGCAAAGTGTTCACGATTTCGAGTCGCGATGGTATCAATGTCACATGTCGGAACGATACTTTTAAATAGCATGCTTAACGTGCAATGTGCGGGTAAGAAGAAGTAACGATCGGCTGGCAATTAAGAGATAACGCGATCGCGCGGCACGCAACATGCAAATTCAATTTGCGTCGCGGCGGAGACGTTTCGGTGATCGGAAGTCGGACGCGACGATTACTTCTTGTGTTGATGTCGAATCTTGTACGAAAAAAAAGGGTCGAAAGAAGAGACCTAGCCACAGTGATACGGGAAATTGATTAGGGCCGTCCCCGCGGCAACCGGTGGACAAACACGAACGAAACGGAAAGGGAACCGGCACTGGGTTTCGAGACCAACCCTCAGTTACTTGATTTCCGCACGCGATATCCCAGTCTCGAGACGCAACACGTACCCGAAGATCGAAACCAGCTCAACTGTCAATCAAGTATTTATCGTTGAAAAGTTAGTCACGATTTTCTCCTGGAGTATCCTCATTGTTTCGAGGCAAGGCATCTGTGAAAACATGATTTAAATCTTTGTGAATAATGAAATAATGAATAATGCATCTCCGAAATTTCAATGTTAATGAAATATAAGGCAGCTCTGAGAAGCACGAGATATTACAAATTTCTTTGGAAATTGATAATAAAAAATCGTCATTCGTTGGAATTTTTACGGTATGAGGTTCAAAAAACTTCTAATTGTCTTATGCGTACTTGTGGGACTCTACGAGAAATCTATGGTGCACGGTCAAAAGGATTTCACTAGTGATCGAGAATCCACAGCAACTAGGCCTGTTAATCTCTGTAAGTAATCAAATCGAATTTGAATTCAACGTAAGAAAGCTTGAGATTCAAAACTCCATCGGCTTTTTCGTTAGTCATAATCAACGACGCAGAGAACAAAGTGGCGAATAGCAGCATAATAGCCGCCTTGAGAACGATCAGGGAAAAATACCCTCACCATTTGGACAGGGTGTGGACCGTAGAGATAAACGAATCCGACATAAATGACACTCTGGATCATATCTGCAATTCGTGGAACTCAGCGGTCGCTAAAGGTAGCAGCAAAATACCGGATCTGGTGATAGATACAACTACAGCCGGATTGGGTGCCAAGATATCGAACTCGTTCACAGCCGCTTTAGGAATTCCCACGTTATCCGCGCAATATGGTCAAGAAGGGGATCTCCGCTATTGGAGAAACTTAAACACGGATCAACAAGGTTATTTGATTCAAGTGATGCCTCCATCGGACTTGATACCGGAAGCAGTTAGGCAAATAGCCATCCAATTAAATGTCACGAATGCGGCGGTCTTATACGATCACAATTTCGTCATGGATCACAAGTATAAGAGTCTGTTGCTGAACGTACCGACCAGGCACGTGATCAATGAGGCCTCGCAGCAAGTTAATGAAATGAAGAGACAGTTGCCCCGTTTACGAGACCTGGATATCGTAAACTACTTCATCCTCGGCGATGAGAGTACACTTAGCATAGCTTTGGAAGCAGCCGAGGCTTTAAACTTCACCGGGGCGAAGTATGGTTGGTTTTTACTCACACCAGAAGCCAACATCTGGCCGAGATGCGAGTGCAGAAATATGAGCGTATTTTTTATGAAACCGGAACTCGGTCAGAGAAAGCCGAGCGTAGACATTACCCTGCCAAAACCGATTATATCGTCGGCTTTTTACTACGATCTGGTACAGTTAGGCGTGCTGGCGATGAAATCGGCTTTGGACACCGAGGAATGGCCAAGGAAACCGAGACAAATCACCTGCGACGAATATAACAACACGAACACTCCCGTGAGGAGGCTAGATTTTTTTAGTAAGTTAAAGGCGACTTACGAGAATATGACACCGACGTATGCTGAGATTCAGTGGGGATCGAAAAACGGAGAACACCAGGCCAAATTCGAGATGTCCATTTATTTGGTGAACATAGAGGAAGGGGTTATCGCAGACAAAATCGAGAGCGGGTCCTGGAACGCAAGCGTCTCCTCACCTTTGCAGGTAAATTTCAGTATTATTTTTTGTTCAACATTTTGGAAACTTGCATGCAATTACTTGACGTATTGAAAAATAAAAACAATTCAAAGTTCATTACTGTCAGAAACAATGTTAAATATAAAATAGTCGTGTTCGTATATAGGCGTGGTAGATAAGTTATATGTATATTATATGAATAGTTAATGAAGCAGTAAGAAATTTGATAGTGCAAAATTAGTTTTAAATTCAGAATTACATGTTTAATAAATAGTATAGAGCACAAAATAGATTTTTACGCATGACATCAGTAAACGAAATTAGGTTGATATTGATTAGCAAAAAAATAATGGAGGTTTTCAGTCACGCAAGGATGGAACTATTCAGTTGTTCGATAATTGAATGTCACGACCCTGGCTTAGTATTGTTCCAGGTAATCGCCACTAATTACTAAAATTAATACTGTATAGTTGCTCATATCCATTTTTAAACTAGTTATTGAATTTCCAAATAATAAGAATCTTCTATTTTGAAATTAAATGTTTGAATTAAAAATGAAAATTTATCGAATTTCAGTATATTAATGGTAATCCTTGTTTAGCTAGAACTGTATAATACATAATACGATAAGTGATACCCTTGACACAAACTCGTCACATTTATTATATTTACACTTATTGCCTGATAACATCAGCCGTTGATGAAGATAATGCATGCAATTATACTTTTTCATGTCTACCGCATAACGTGGAACTCTTCAACTACGTAATAGCATTCTAGCATTGGTAATATTCATGTTGGATAAGTGTTCTCAATATTCCCTTCCTACTTAAAGGATATTATTTTTTTAATAGGATATTTTGAAAAGATATTTTTTTACTTATCTTATGTAGAATTAATCCCGATCAATTGATAATTACAAAACAGCCCTTAGTGCTCTATACATACAATATTAATGTACCTAAAATAATTTTAATTCACCTAACTGCATTCTCTGCGAAAGGTAGAGAACAGTAATATAATGAACTCAACGGCGGTGAAGAGTTACCGGGTGGTCACCGTAATTCATCCTCCTTTCGTCATGTACAACGAGGACAAGAACGAGTACTACGGCTACTGCATCGATCTACTGAACGAGATCAAGGACACGGTTGGGTTCCAGTATGAGATACGGGAAAACGTGGACTACGGAAACCTGAATCGGAACGGAAGCTGGGACGGAATGATAAAGGAACTGATCGAGAAACGTGCCGACATTGCGGTGGGTTCACTCTGGGTCACAGCCGAAAGGGAAAGGGTCGTAGACTTCACAGTGCCTTACTACGATTTGGTTGGCCTGTCGATCATGATGCTGAAAACCAAGACCACTACGTCGCTATTCAAATTTCTCACCGTGCTGGAGAGCGAGGTCTGGTTCTGTATTCTAGCCGCTTACCTCTTCACCAGCGTTCTCCTTTGGGTTTTCGATCGCTGGTCGCCGTATAGCTATCAAAACAATCGGGAGAAATATAAGAACGACGATGAGAAAAGGGAATTCAATCTTCGGGAGTGTTTCTGGTTTTGTATGACCTCTTTGACGCCGCAGGGTGGCGGGGAGGCTCCGAAAAATCTTTCTGGAAGACTCGTTGCGGCTACTTGGTGGCTCTTCGGATTTATAATCATCGCTTCGTATACTGCGAATCTAGCGGCGTTTTTAACGGTCTCGCGATTGGAGATTCCGATCGAGACGCTGGAGGATCTTAGCAAACAGTACAAGATTCAATATGCTCCGAAGCTTAACTCTGCGGCCCATATTTATTTCAAGAGGATGGCTGCTATAGAGTGGAAGTTTTACGAGTGAGTAAATGTTACAGCATAGCATGGATCGGTTAAAGGACGATAATTTCAAAATCGGAGATTATAACATTTTCGTGTTATTGCGGATTTTAGCATCTGGAAGGAGATGAGTCTTAACGATAGTTTGTCAGACGTAGAGCGGGCCGATTTGGCAGTCTGGGACTATCCCGTAAGCGACAAGTACACTAAAATGTTGCAAGCTATGGACGAAGCTGGGTTTCCGGCTACGGTGGACGAAGCATTGCGACGTGTTCGTCGTCTCGACTCCAACAACGAATTCGCTTACATAGGAGACTCGACTACGATCAAATATCTCGCTATGACTAACTGCGACTTGGTTCAAGTAGGCGAGGACTTTTCACGGAAGCCATACGCGATCGCTGTTCAACAGGGATCGCCATTAAAGGATCAGTTCAACAATGCGTGGGTATTATTCTTTTCTTCTTTCTTAAAATCAGAGATTTGATTGTGATTTCTTCTCATTTCTTTTGAACAGAATTTTAATATTGCTGAATAAGAGGAAATTGGAAAAATTAAAGGAGAAATGGTGGAAGGAGAATCCGGAGAGGAAAGATTGCGATTCGGAGTATAATCAAAGCGACGGTATAAGTATTCATAATATCGGTGGTGTGTTTGTAGTAATATTTTTGGGCATCATTTTCGCTTGTGTTACTTTGGCCTTCGAGTATTGGTACTATCGACACCGCTCAAAGGTCTCAAAGATCAATCGAAATAATTCGACAAAAGGTAATCTCATGAAATTAAAACCACTCAGATTCAATTTGCAGCCGGCACCTACGCACGGCTTTCAGAGTACCCATTTCAGATCGCGGTTCTGAATACGTTGTTGATAACGTGAGAAAAGAAAGAAAAAAGGAGCCATACGTCTTAAACCATTCGAGACTTCGATAATAATAGGATTAGAGTGTCTAAAATATCCGAACAATTTTTAAACGGGAAATAAAACGAGCCCAACAGAGATAATAAATGTTATTCAGCGTTTGCAATGCCTTTATTTGGTTACTCCCTTCGCGTACATTATTTCGCGCAGAGAATACATTTTATGCGTGTTCGTTCGTCATTTTTTAAATCCCCTTTATTTCGTTCGTTTTCTTCGCATCGCAGTTCACGTCACAATATCGTTTATCATCTGAAACAACGCTCCTCGCGTTGCGTTAACATTATAACCACATTTTTTTCAATAACATTTTATTCACTTTCTTTTCCCTTCGCCTTAAAAGGCATTCATTTTTCTAATAAATCTTCTCTCTCCCGCTCGCTCTCTCTCTCTTCTGTCCCTTTCACTCACGCTTACCTTCATCTTAAAGGTAAACGTAGTATTTCCATAAGTTACAAGGTTCTTATTTCTTTGCTTGTCTTTTTCACATGCACGACCGTAATATTTTCCGATATTTACTCTGAGGGAGCATAGGAAAAGCATTGGATACTCTGGATTTCTTTTAAAACATGGGATATAGTGAATGATGGTATCGGGGAAACAGGATATTAATCTTCTAGGATGTTAAATTATAATTACAGGGGGATATAATTAAGATAATTCATTAATAGTTACGAAAAAACAACAAGAAAATAGAATAGTATTTCGATGATTCTCGACTTTTAATATTGTAATCGCGGCACTTTTTATATACTCGTTTTTCTGCTCATATATATATATATATCTATATATATAAGTACTCCATCCTGAAAAGTCTTCCGACATATTTTTTGTCTTTTAACCTTTTTTTGTTTTTTTCTCACTTTAAATAAATGTCGTTCTTTTTTTGAAAGTATTTTTCATAATTACATTTTTATTTTCATTTCCTCCTCTTTTTCCTGCAGTGCATCCAATGCAAACATACAGTGGATCGCCTGCACAATGGATGAGAAACAAAAAAGTTAAACTGCACGCTACATTTTCTAGAAAAATCAGCGCACTAATATTTTATTACTTTTTTTGCGTTTTCGTCTCTCTCTCCACGAGAAAGTGTCACATAAAATTATCAACAAGCTACAAACGAAATCTCGTGGACTACGCTCGCATTACTTCTTTCTCTCATTCTCTCTCTCTCTCGCGCGCTCGTTCTCACTCACGCACGCGCGCTTTCATCGTTGAATGCTGCGTTTCGTAACATATACACCGTTTTCCTTCCTCTATTTCGTTCCGTATCCTCTCTTCTGTTTTATTTGTCAAAGGGTTAATAATTATCTAAATGAACGTTTAATACCCCTCTTGTCTCGCTTTGCTCGCGTTACAACTGTTACTTTTTCATTATTATTACTCTTCGTTTAAAGACAACGGGGGATGCATTATTTTGTTTCGTGTTAACGGCACCATCTTGGATACATGCATAACAAATTCCACATGCCAAGAGGCCCCCCGAGTGTCATACTTCTTTTTAACTATCTTTTCCCTTCATTAACGGTTTGCGTCTTCGTCTTGACAAACAAAAAAGTTTAGCTAAACCACGAACTCTCCAGTCATAGCGCTTAATTAGCAGCTCATTATTCTATCCAGTTCATAAGGTCAGCGGACGCAAAGTCGTCACAGGCTGGCATCCAAAGCTGCTACTGTGCCTTCTATCGGAAAAAACATATTAAACATGTAGTTGTTACGTTATATCTGCAACAATTCGACTAAGTACTCGGACCACGTATCAATACAATTTTACGCTACGTCGAATCTCGCGTGCTTCGAATTAAAAGCGTGCACCGTTGCCAATCTCTTGAATAGACGTCTGCACGGTTCAATTTTGTTGCGTCGGTACAGATCTAATTTTGTAAGGCGTTATATACCGTGGATCGACTACGCGTATGTATATACGTGATACGTACGTACGAACCTACATATATACGTCTATCAAGTTCAGATTACCTAACGTCAAACATAACAAATAAAAAAAGAAATAGTAAATCACTTCGGTGCTCGTTGCACGAATAACAAAAATGTCGTTTCGATCGTTCAGCCAATGCTCTTTGGTTTCACTGCGTAATATAATCGTACAAATGAACGAACGATGAAGGTCTTACGTGAAAGCGCAATGTAATGTAATCAGGCGTTTGTTTATTTCGCTATATTAACATAAAATAACGAACACGCAATTTCTTTTCTCGTTTATTACCCGAATCTCGGATAAACGTGATTATAGCGTGACAAAGCAAAACGAAAAGAAAACGTAACTATCGACACGAAGTGTTGGGGATTATATTTTCCTTTTTTCTAGAGACGTGTTTATTACCTTTTCCTATCATTGTGCAGAGGTACGTTAGATCGCACCCAGCCCAGTTGACCCAATACATAGGAATCTTTCTCGACTTTCTCCTCTTCGCGAATAACAGTATCTTCCACTCCAACGGGAGTATAATGAATGTAATCCTGTTCGGAGAGAATTCTGCGTTTGACCGGAGATCTAATGGGCTCGGTTTGAACGCACTTGTCACATTGACGCACCCTGAATTTCAACGTTAAATTGGTAGATACCGGAGGTAACGGCGAGTCATTCTCTCGATACTCCATGTAAGGGCTCTCGCCGCCAGGAAGATATAACAAGTTTCCTGACTCAGATCTCCGATATGCGACCCGCTCTAAAGTATTGTTCACAGGAAACGTAGTCCCATCGGCCCACTGACCGTCATCCTTTATTGGACGAAAGTGTGTGCGAGCGGAAGTTAGCAAGTCCTCGTCTGGTTCTGGAAGGCTGTTTACCTTCAGATTTGAACGAGATTCTTTGCGTGTTCCAATGGGAGTCTTACGAGGTGCGACTGGAAAGAAGCAGCTACCTGTCTGAGGACTATGACCCAAGGCAGCTAGGTTACTGTCAAGCCCTTTCCAGGACCATGATCCATCCATAGCCGAGTCAGACCAGTTAACGTTGCTTTCTGAAATTGTACATATCAAACGTTTAGTTACCTTCAATTCATATACTCGGACATTGGCAACTAACTTGCACGTATATGTGAAAGAACAAATTGTAATAAAAATATGTAGGATATGTGATAACTGGTGGTATAACCGGGGAGGAGGTGATTTTACAACCAAATTCTGGGAAAATCTTTAAATTCGAAAATGAAACACATCACCGTTTTTCAATTTATGTTTGCATGTAGCATCCCCTTTGCCTATTTATATGACGAGTTACCAAATACCTTGTATACATATTGCGGCACGACACAGATAGAACGGCGCTCTACATCTAACTTGGTGTACTCTGTTATTTTACTTACATGTAGGTATGATCTCCTATCCGTTAGATATACTCAAGTCAATATTACCATATCGTCATACTTGTAAATTGTAATATATCAGCGAATACTGACCTGATTCATCCTTGTTACTATATTCATCCGCATACTCTTCAGTGCTGATTATATCGATATCCCATGGAATGGGCGGCGAGTCGTCGAAGTTAAATTCTTGATACGATGTGTCAGTAGCATAGCCATTGTCTGAGGTGGATAAAGTAAAGATTGTCTCGGTAGTATCTGTCGGCCAAAGGGGTCCTGAAGGAATAGAAAGTGTGGGTGCTGCCCAAATTGAAGCCGTGTCTTGTGCATTGCCTGGCCCTGAGTCCCAAAGTGCTTCCAAGCTCTCGTCAAACTTTGCTTGCAACTGTGCCAATCGAAGTTTATCCAATTCTAGTTCCTTTTCCCGTTCACGTTCCATCGACTTGACAAATCCAAACCCTTGTTTTTCCTCCGATCTTCTCGAATCAATACTCTATGTAATAAGTAAGACCACCCCGTAAACAAAATTTATTTTGTGTAACATACGAAGATTATTTGATTCCTATACTTACAATAGACATTTTAGTTTTCTTATTACGGGATTTATTGGTATTTTTATTATTATTGTAGCTAACTCCGTTAGCTTTATTGTTATTATTATTATTATTGTTGTTGTTATTCCCAAAATTTTTATCCCTTTTCTGAGAGAATTTCTTGAGGGTCGTAGGTTGCAAAGCAGGAAATGCCGCGTAATATCTGAGAGCTCTGTCACGAGGTGTCAACGATTCTAAATTAGGTTTGTTTTCACTATCGGACTTGTTATATTCCTCTTCCTTTTCGTCCGAGCCACCCCCTTCTAAGTCCCGAAGTTTCGTACATAATTCGTCGACCAGTGTCTCCACCCCACATTTCTATACAATAGAACAATTCAGCTATTATTCAAATTTACTAGATAAAGTAAAAGAGATATTTAGGATGTTCAACACCGCGCGCGGCTACTTACATTATCAGCAGCACTTGTTAAACATTGCACAACGGCACGCCTTTGCTCCCTATTTCCTTGAGTGGGCAGTTTTGCTTTAGGTCGGGCCCGAATGCGACGTCCTCCGTTTCTACCAGTACCTATGGGTTCTTCTGGAGGGCTTAGGGCCGAGTCAGGGCAGCGCAGTAGGCTGAGCACAAACCGCGAGTACGCAACAGGATCTATTCCCAATGCGTCCAAGCGTGCCTCAAGCCACTGTCGCAACTCTTCCTCGGCCCTTGTACCAAAGACTTCACCCCCTCCAGGGGACGTCGCTATCCCGACCAGGTGCAATGCCGGATTCCTCATTTCCTTTTAATAAAGCTCCTCCTAGACCCAGGAACTTTCACTGACTCCACTACCTCCAGGGTGATCATCTTCTCTCCTTTACATATAAACATGCCTGATTATCCTAAAGCAGATTTCTACTACAAAAAGGATTAATGATAAAGCGAATGACAAATAGTGTTACCTATTTACAATAGAGTTACTGTATTATATTATTGTCCTTTAATGTTTCGATATTATTGAATCCACCACCTTGACATTTACTAGTTCAATTAAATGTTCTTTTGTTTCTCGGTTTTTCGTTACTTGTAATTTCTCTCTTTTAGTTTCGTTGCCCACAATCAATGGTGGTGCTTCTTGTGATTTCAGTTACGTTGATATTAAAAATTATTTAGTTCTTGTACACAGGTGGTGGATGTCTTGTGGAAATGAGGCTGGCAGGTCTTAGTGAAGGATAACAAACATAGTCTCCTTCCCATTTTGACACTGAAATTTTATAATATCTACATTATTTTTTTAAATATTCTAAGTATGGAATGTATTAATAAAATATTATATTGTGTATGTATGTCGACTGTATATATTGTTTTATCATGTATAATAAACTTCAAAAAAATAAACAATTTACATTCAATGTTTTAAAATAAACCGCAAAAATGTTAACATCTCTTACATAAGGAACACTTTCACCTTCATATATTTGAAATAAATGTTAGTACTAACACATCATCGACTTGAAGCCATCTAGGAAATACAAAAACAAAGCATTGTTCATTGAAACAAAGCAACAAAAACGTTTAACATCATTTGTGTTATTCATTATAATTATTTGTGATAATAAATATTACTATTCAGTAGAATATACACATAGTGCATTACAAAATATATAAGAAAATGAATCATAGGCATTGGATCTTGGTAATAGAAATCAAATGATGAGTAATGTTAATTTCAGATAAAATATGTATCAAGTTACTTGTGTCAACTGTCATTTATTTCTAACTTATGTAAACACAATGTATAGTATTGTAGCAACTTCAAAATGTAATTTCAAGAAGGCTTATCTTAAACCTAAATTAAGATTATGTTTGTATAAAGATATAAAA